TATATATATATGACAAACCGTGTTTATTCACTTATTGTACATATAACCAACACGTAAGCTTAATTATAGCACTTTAAAATACAGTTCAATGGCTTTCCCAAGAACATAAGTTGGAACGCAATGAAGCGCTGACGTGCTCTGATCCCAAAGAACACACAGAGTTAATGAGTGCAACCTGAACCGTGATAACAATGCATGTAATCAGGCTGGTGTAAATGTGGTAGGAACAGTGTGTTCAAGTTTGCAAAAAAAAAAAAAGAAAAGATAAGATAAGCTATAAATATGCTTTCTCATCCAATAAGCACAAGCAAACCTTGAAAAGGAGTCAGCAAAGTCATTAAAATAAAGCAATGCTTGTTTACAACGTTGCTACAGAGAGGAAGATAAACTTACTTTGTGTGCATCTTTGAACATCAGTTCAAGTTGTTTCATCATATCAATGGATAAGTGAAATCCTATAGAACGCTGGTCTTGCCAAGTTACGTTGAACTCAAATGACAAAGTGTTTAATGGACTAGAAACTGATATTATTTTAGGGAAAGAGCCCATTTACAAAACCTCAAGTCTCTTGGGTTTGACCCGTCTCTAATGGCTAAGCTACATGATATGTAAGAGACTAAACTCAAAACTGGAAAAGTGCTAGTGCAATTTGAAACACAGGTCGTCCACCAAGAAAACATGAGACAGATATGATCAGTTTTCTGTCTTAACCAGGAACAGCATTGTGCAAATGTTTAGGTATTCACCGTGTGGCTATGATTTTATTTTCTGCAAACAGCAAAGGCTTTTTGTTTGCATTTGCCAGAAGAATAGAAGAGGAAGGCAGTGTGTATGATTATGCACAATCTGCACGCACTACTGTCCACAGACAATCAGTAATAAGAGGAGGAAAGATGAGCAACTGGGTTATTAGACAGTTTTATCTAATCATGTCCTAATGCAGACAGGTTTACAGAGATCGAAGCTCGAACCCCTCTTGGAGCTGATAGCTGATTGTTTACTTCTGGAAATTTAATGAGTTCTCTTTGATCTTTCACTTTCATTTTGTGTATTATTTTTGATCGCGCTGACGAATGCTTCTTATCTAACCTGTTAACATAGACGGTCTGCTTTTCCATTCAAGAGACATGATCATACTTGCAAGTTTGTATAAAATCTGCTGTCACTGGAAAGACATGTAATAGTAACCCAGCACACAGTCTTACTATCTGAAGATGTGCTTCCTAGGTGCTGTGACTGGCTTTTGGCATGAAAAAGGTCCCCTCTGTTGAAAAGTATTTCTGATTTTCTTGTGTGTTCATGGTATGTGACACGTCATTCACTAACACGATACATAAGAGTAGTAAGTGCATTGATTGTTGGCCATGCTTGTCACATTCTCAGTCACACAATGCAGTGCAACATGTGCAAGTGACAAAAAGAAAACTAACATTGAGTCATTCTTTGTACAAAACCATCGTTCATAAAAATATCAAGGTTATTTTTTTAATGAAAAAAGTTTGCTTTTGTTGCTAAACTCTTACTAAAATGTATGCCATATTTGATTTTGCACCAAGAGCAGAAATAATCCTCTTCAAGGTTTCATTCATACATACTTATGTATGTGATGTGCATGTTTCCACACCCAATTAACCAAATACTTGGTTTTAACAAAACTAGACATCTTAATGGGCCTGTTGTCCTTGCCCTCAAATAAAATCACAGGAGGAGAATGGATTTGTTGACTAACATATGTGCAAGTATTTTAAAGTAGGTGGTAATATGTCCCTCTTGTTAGTTCTGGGGTTTTTCTGGCTGTCTTGTGACCTCTTAAATCTAAACAACTGGAAAAAAAGTGTCTAACTGAAACTGTGCAGAGTACTAACATGGACAACTTTACACATCTGTATATTTTGTATGTGCATTTTCTGTTAGAATTATTATTTTTGCTTATGCTAGCAGCTCTGAGTGTGCTAAGAACACCTCAAGAAAGTATAATCATTGCAAATGATATATATATACATTTTAAAAAAGCTTAAAACAAAGCAGATGAGTTTAAGCTATGTAGTTAAACTTGTGCATCTAAATTGTACAGTACTTCCATTGCTGTCATTCCTGTGGTTTACTTTCTGAGTAGTGATGCCTGGTGTCGCAGAGAACTGAAGTCAATGTAGCCCATCTGAGTATATACAATATGGCCACTAAAGCTGTCATCACATCTTACGTGCACGGGGATTAACACTTAATCTCAGCCAGAATATTTACTCTATTGGCTCTGTTGGCTAAACATGTCTCAGTTATCATGTGGTCTTCTTTCTGTACGGTTGCTTCTAGAATAGATCTTCTAAAATCTAGCAGCTGATTTGAGATTTGACTTTTAGATCTGCTTTAACATGTACAAGTTCCTAACCCCTTCCAAATGCAACAAAACACACCTTCTGTGTCCTCCTTGTCCCTAAGAGAAAGATGGATCAAAAAAGACCCTTGTTGTTGTGACCTTTCTACATTTAGACATTCCCCTCGTTCTTCCTGGACTGCTGTGTCTCGTGCTACCTTTTGAATGGGAGTTATTTTCATGGCACTTTTCAGGGCTGTCACAAAATCCTCCTTGGCTGTCACAAACTAGGATAAATGTAAAAAATTACATGACAAAGAGCTCCTGATTGCCACCTGTCAAGCAGATGGTGAACCATGAATTTCACATTACTGACCAAGTCTGAGGCATCGTGGTGCCACAGCTTGTAGGGCTGCTGCCTCTCAGCAAGAAGGTTGTGGGATAAAATCCTGTCCAGACGCTTTTCTTGGTGGACTTTGCATGTTCTCTCCATACTTGCATACGTTTTCTCCAGGTATTCCAATTTCCTCCCACATACTAAAAACATGCCTGTTAGGTTGATTGGTGTGAGAGTGAATGGTTGTTTGTGTCATTCGTGTCTATGTGTCCCTGTGATGGATTGAAGACCAATCCAGGGTGCCACCCACACCTCGAACAGTGGCAGCTGCACATCGGCACCAGTGACCCCCGTGACACAAAAAAGAAGAAGTGGGTAAAAGATAATGAATGGATGACCAAGTCTGAACATTGCCAACTATCCATCCATCCATTATATTCACCCGCTTCTTCCTTTCGGGGTTGCGGGGGTAACTGGTGCCCATATGCAGCAATCACTGTGCAAGAAGTGGGGGACAGCTAGGACACGTCGCAAGTCCATCACAGGGACACATAGAGACAAACAACCTTTCACTCTCTCACTCACACATAGGGACACTTTAGAGTTACCAATCAGCCTAACATGCATGTTTTAGTGGGAGGAAACCAGAGTACCAGAACAAAACCCATGCATGCACAGAGAGAACAAGCAATCTACACCCAGAAAGGATCCTGGCCAGGATTTGAATCATCAACCTTCTTGCTGAGCGGCAATAGCTCTACCAACTGAGCCACCGTGCCGCCCCATCAGAATGTACTCAATTAATTTAATACTAAAACTTGGGATCACTTTCTTTTTTCAGGTGTTTCTTATCCAGTACTGATTATCTTTTATTTTATTTCATAGGATGATGTTTGTGTTTTGTCCTGCTTTATTTTAACGGCATCATTAGCCCCTTTTTAGCAAATTAAAGACGAGGCCGGGAACGGGTGTTTAATTAGAGGACCATGCTATTGTGCTGTCATTTTAATTGGTGACATTTTAAAGGACATGTGACACACCTTCAGTATTTAATAATTTTCTGTTGCCTTGGACCACAGTATTTTTTAAAGATGTTTGTGAAAGCTTGTCTTTCTGCTTTGAAATGAGTTTACAATCTGGATCATACCATGTCCCTTTAGATGTGGACTGTGTCATGCCACCTTCAGACAGCATGGGAGTGTAAAACGACCTTCTTAAAGGATACATCTGTGTGCTTCCACTTTCAGGAAGGATAAGTCCTCTGCTGCTCTTACTCTGCTCTAAGCTGGATGCATTTTAAGAACAGAGACAACCTTCAAAATGTTAGCGGAGAACAATTTCCTGGCAACAGCATAAGGATGGACAAAAGAAAAGCATGAAAGCCCAAATTAGACAAATGAGATGGGTTTTACGTCCCTGAGCTTGTTGCACTTGGTATTTTCACAAAAAAAAAACATATCTTGCTGAATGTAAAACACGGTGCACTAAAAGATAATGAGCTGCTGGTATCTTTGTGTAAAATGTTTCTCGAGGCTCATCTTGGATCTTTAGGTCTCAATGCATGCATTACCTTGTGAACTTTTTCGAACTTAGCATTTGATTTTCTTCAGTGGTTTCTGTGATTCCAACCGTAATAAATCCACTCGTTCATTATTGACTTTACAGTTTTGGCTCATTTCACCTTTTGTAATGACCCAGTCTAATAATTATTCACACCTTAGTAAAAGACATTGATCCATTCAAGCAGCTGCTGCTTCTGATGCAAAATCCATATCCCCTGAAAAGTTTTCTGTCAAATATATGTGGTTTAAGATTGGAAATGATGCATCAAATCAAAGATGAAAATCCCACACCTGATTAATAATTGTGCACATTCTGTAAGGAGTGCCAAGTTGGTAAAAGTTCCATAATCAAGTACTAGCATGTTGTTTCTTATTTTGTAATGCCAAAAACCAAATTAGTTTCCTTCCTCAACTGTTTTCAGGCTAATCTCAAAATGTGATCACTTTGTAAAGATGGATCACACTGACCCTTTATCCCCTGCTATTGAACCTACAGTCTAGTTCCTGGTCACCATTTTCTCAAATTCTGTATCCTTGTTCTCTGAAGTACTTTATACCTTTTTATTTCTGTCACCCTCTACCTCACCAACTTTCTAATTTAAAATTCTACTGATGTCCTCCCATGTCTCTTCATCCTTCTCCTCTTCCCTGCCCTTGTCATACCCTCTCTACCCCCTCAACTCTCCCTTGATTCTCTCTGGTCCATCTCATCTGTCTATGGCCTCAGGACATTTGCCCCATGCAGATCTTCCCTGCTCCACTCCCCACAGCGATAGCCCAGACTTACCAAGCAAGATGATGATGCACAGCAGGATGGCAATCAGAGCCCCTGTACTGAGACCCGCAGAAGAGAGGAACGCCTCGCCTTGGCATATCCGGATCTTGCCATGACGCTGGCACGGACACACTCGCAGGGTCAGGGTGCTGGTGCCACTTAGAGACGGCTCCCCGCCGTCCCACACCACGATGGGCAGCTCGTACAGCTCCTGGCTCATGTGGTTGTAACGCCGCCGCCTGGCAATGATGCTGGCTGAGCTGTCTGTAAGTTTAAAACATAATGAACAATTACACTCCCTTGACAAACAAATGCCTAATCGTGTGCCTCTTTTTTCATAAAGCATGCAGCTGACTACATTTTGAAAACAATAGTTTGTAAAAAAAAAAAACAACAACATTCACAACACGTGTAAAAGAGATTTATTTTTGCTTTTGAAGAATCTCATGAAGGCATTTCAGACTGCTTGCTGTTTCTTTGTGAGCCAAGGCTAATTGATTTCAGACGTGTTGGTTTCTTTAACATGCAGCAAAAGAACATTTCACCTTGACCGTCATAAAAAAATCAAACTGTCAGGTAAACTGATATGGAAAACATGAGCCAATGACAATATTCTTAAAATAGAAATTGTACGATATTATACAAGAAGCAAATGATCAAATTAGTTTATGCCAAAGAGATAAAAAAAAAAACTATATACACCTTTTCTTTTTACAAATAAACTAAAGCAGAATTCAAATTTTGAACCAAAATCATCTCTATTGTT